GTGATTTTGAGCAATCGGGTAATGGGTGCAAGATTGTTTGTGACACGATTAGGTAAGCGATTTATCAAATAATAGACAGTCAAGAATGCTTCATCGCAAAAACGCAAGGGAAGAAAAGAGTGGGCTAGGAGAGCCAAACATGTTTCGACAATATGTCAATGTTTTCTCTCGGCTATACCATTTTGCTGAGACGTATGCGAGCAAGACACACGATGCGATATACCTATTCTTTGAAAATATTGATGGAGTTTGTGATATTCACCTCCCCAATCGGATTGTATAGCACGAATTTTAGCATTCAAAAGTCATTCAACATGGTTTTGAAAATTATAGAAAATTTGCTCAACATCAGATTTTCTTTTAATGAGATATATCCAAGTATAACGACTGTAATCATCGACAAAACTCACATAATACTAAAAACCACCACTAGACACTTGAGCAGGTCCCCAAACATCCATGTGAACCAAATCAAGTGGAAAAGAAGTAGCACGAATAGAATTATTGTACAGGAGTTGATGACTCTTCCATTTTTGACAAGCATCACAAACAGAGAAATTACTATCAAAAGAACACCCTAAATTATTAGACCTCAAAATAGACTTGACTACTGCTGAAGACGGATGACCAAGCCGCCAGTGCCACTGAGAAAATGAAACACCAACACTAGATGAAGCACGGTGAGGTGTTGAAGATTGCTTGAATGGCAATGGATAGAGACCAACCTTGCTTTTACCGACTAGAAGGATTTTCTTTGTGAGTTTGTCCTTAACAAGAGAAAGCATTGGTGTGAAATTCAATAAAAACATTGTTATCATAAGCAAGCTTGTATGCAGAAAGAAGATGTTTGTTTATATTTGGGACACATAAGACATTTTTGAGAATAAGAGGGTTTCCTAAACTGGATATTTTAGAATGACCAATATGAAAAATGTTCAAACCTGTGCCATTTGCAACCTGTACTTGATCCTTGCCATTGTAACGTTCTTGGACAGAAAGCCGATCTAGATCACTAGTGAGATGATCCGTAGCCCCAATGTCAATGTACCAATTTGGATCTCCATTGTAAGGACTTGTAGTGACTCTACCACCCCTACAATAATCATCAGCTTGATAAGCGTGATTAAACCTGTTTCGACAGTTGAGTGCACTGTGACCATGTATGAAACAAACTTGATATCTTGGGCCACCATTACTCCTGCCTCGGCCACGTCCTCGACCTCTGTTTGATCCTGCTCCACGGTAGTTGGACCGCTAGTTATTGTTGGGATTATTTGAGGTTCATCGCGGTTGATTTAAACCTTGGTGAGTCACGCTATTTGCTGAAGAGGTGAACTCAGTCATGCTGTTAGTGGCAGTGGCCTGCGCTTCATGAGCTATTAGATATGAGTAAAACTCATATAGAGTTACCTTATGCTGATCACTGAGGACTGTGATGGCAGTGAAAAGATCACCGTGACCTGGTCCTAGGCCGGCTAGTATGTAGCCAATAACCTCCTCATCAGTCATGGGATGGCCAATGTTCGCCATTGTGTCAGCAAGTGTTGTCATTTTTTGATAATATTCAGCTGTACTCAATCTCCTTTCCTGGTTGTTGATAGTTGAGTGCGTATTTGTATAGAGTTACCTCTATGTTGTGCTGAGAACATAGTGTGGAGAGTAGTCCACATTTGATTTGAAGTATCTGTGCATCGGGTAAGTTGAGCCAACACTTCTTTTTTCATAGAAGACAGAAGACCACCAATAATTGCTTGGTCTTGCACCATCCACGAGTTATACTCGGGATTAACTATTTCCCGTGCTTCAGCGCCAGCCCCTGTGGTTACTTTGGCAGGGGGAGATTCAATTGAACCATCGAGATAGCCGAACACCTGAACACCCTTAAGAATGGGCACCACCTGTGCTTTCCAAAGCAGAAAGTTCGATCGGTTAAGCTTTATACCTGTGGCGATCTTAGAGGAATTGATGTTTGAGGCAGAAGTAGACATGGCGAGACTGGAAGGGGAAACCAGCGGCCGATGATGAAAGAAAGAGAGATAGAAGCGAGCTAGAGCCCTAGGATAAGCTCTGATACCAAATCAAAATATGTATTTGCCACACAAAACCCGTAGGTTATTATCTGATATATATATATATATATATATATATATATATATATATATATATATATATATATATATATATATAGTAGTGGGATCAAATGAGAACGCCAAAAAGGTTGAGAATGCGAGAACAAATCTGAACCATATAAATATTGAAATCTAAAGCTATTATCAAACAGACCATTTATATCAATTCTAAAAATTTTGGTATTTAAGTGTAACTTTAAAATGTTAGAATGGCATGTTAGTAATTACAACTTTCCATGATCCTACAATTTCTCACTCTCTCACCCATTTACTTCCACTTTCCCGTATTTCTCTTTCTCTCTCTATATACCTAGGGTTTCTTCAATAAAATTGCCTCCCTCATCTGCACACCAACATTTTCGTCCACCATAGAATTTTTTTTCAGCCGAGCAAAAGCACCGATCTGCGTTGTTATTGACGAAAACGATGACAACAGGGTTGTCGACGATAGGCGATTGCTCAGAGCATATACATGTACATTTCCAATTCCAAAAATGAAGACCCTATCGTGCGAAAGATGTTGCGGCTACTTCTTTTTAAAATCGATTGTTCTTTTTTTTTTTTTTTTTTTTGTGGATGTTGTCGGCGATAGAGACAATTGCTAAGAGCATGCACATGTATATTTCTAATGCCAAAAATGAAAACCTTCTCGTGCGAAAGGTTGTTGCTGATTCTTTCGAAATTGATTGTTCCTTTTTTTTATTACCTGTTGATCTTTGCATGTTTTTGTGCCTAATTGATTTTTACATTTGATTTTCATGAATTAAAACAAATGATGAAGAATTTTGAAAAGTAAGAACTCATGGAGCATAATTTCCTTTAAACACATTATGGGCTTTATCACTAATTATTTTCTTATTAATTTGAGTTTATTGGTATTGCTGCAGGTTTGATTTGGGAGCCACTGTTTATTCTTAAATCTTTATTGTTAGAAAATAGTGGAATTTAAACTTAGAATATTATGTAGAGCACTAGCCCTCAATTTCAAGTAAATAGACTACCGAATTTTGTTATAGTTGGGTTTGAATTTTGAATAGAAGTCATTTATAATGGTGTATTTTGTATAATCATTTAAGAATGTTTTGTTGTATTGCTCTTCTATGCATTAATCATTTACGAATATACAGTTCTTTTATGCATTAATCATGTATGAAGATGTATTTTTTTTATTAATGTGTAAGTCATTTGTGAATATGTGTTTTTTTTGTGATTTAAGTTTTTTATTTATTTAATATTCATTTATGAATATATTGTATTTTAGATATAATTGTTGTATAATAAATATTTTTATTCATTAATCATTATGAATATGTCGTTATTATTGTTTAAATTTATTATTCGTTAGTGAATATAACAAACACTACAAGAAACAAACATTGAGTTTTTCATTTTGAGAGAGAACGTGTGAAAATGGAACACAAATTGTAAACCGTACGAATGAAGTGATATAAAAGCTTTTATTTGTTCAAATTTATAAGAGATTACAAACTTATATTGTTAAATACCAAAATCAATCAAATTTAAAATTATTGTATTTTATTAACTTTGTGGATTATGAATTAAACAGTATATTAATATGATATTTGAAAAATTATTGAGAAAACTTGACAAAATTGATATTTACGTTCTATTACTATTACAATAATTATTTTTAAGAAAACTTTACTACGATTCCTAAATTTAAGGAAACATAGATTTAATTTTAATTTCTCATTAATTAATGAAAATACATGGTTACAAATATACCCTTACATATTATGGTTACAAATATACCCTTACATATTGAGTGGTCTAGAATTATTCTTGCGTTCTCAACCTTTTTAGTGTTCTCAATTGATCCCCTATATATATATATATATATATATATATATATATATATATATATATATATATATATATATATATATATATATATATATATATATATATATATATATACACACACAAAGATAAGCTTAAACAAATAAACCTTATCTATACAACATTTGAATAATACGTTCCTATCTAATCTTCTTCTCTTTACAGATTTCATTTTGATTATAAAATACAAAAATCACAAAATTAATGCAGAGCAAGTAAACAGTTTTGCTCAAAAGATTATGAATTACTGAAAACGTAAAAACATGTGATTTGGATAAATTTTATATCATAAACTTTAGTTACAAATTGTTTGACATGCTCGGCATAGTATTGCATCCTTATCATAAGATAGAGAGCTTTTTTACCCTTCAATTTTATATATCAGTTCATTGTCATAACTACATATTAAGGTGCATAACAGAAAATATGGATATCTCACACGATAATTACAACACAAGAACATCGAAATACATGGCAACTCAAGATATGTAGTTAAGTCAAATTATATAATATACCACCCATGTCCAATTCCAAATACGTACATAAGCCTAAATACTTTGCAAGTAATTATATTGTGAACCGAGTTAAACCTGAATTGTAAAATGGAAGCTAATCGTATACATAATGTAAATCAAATCGCAATAAATAAAGAAAATAAGTCAAAGTGTGAACATGTATGATGTTTTAGCATGAGGTTTGTCTAATTTATGAAATATCCGTAAATGAAAATTTGAAAAAGTAGACAAGAACAAAAGAAAAATTTCCACACGTCTAAGTAATTAGTCGCACGTGGGTGTCGTGTGTGTTTAATGGGTACAATAGCTCCAAGAAAAATGCCATTATTTATAAGTTATTTAACAGTAAACACGGACATTCCTATCCTCATGTAATTGGCCAAAAATGTTAGATAAACCATGATGTGTTTCTTTGTACAGTCCACTTAAAAACGGGCTTCACCTTTTTTATATATAGCAAGTCAGTTCAGATTCTTTTTCATAAATATTCTATCTTGCAATTGGCATGGAAATATGGGTTTGTTTCATATAATAATAACATATCTTTTTTTTTTAAATATTTTGTTTCATATACTCATCCACATATTTTATTTTATGCATCACAGGTCATAAACGTGAGAAAGTGGTTTCAGTTCATTCTGGTTGTTTTTTAGATTGGTTACAACTTTCAACTTTTAATCATAAAACTATATATGGGCCGCGCCCAATTTTATTGGGGCCCATAGATAGAATATTTACGAACAAGGAAGGAGCAGACCAGTGTTGAACGGCGGCGATGGTGATCGGAGTGTGAGTTAGAATTGCCGGTTGTTGAATCAAAGCGAGGGATGAATCAGGTGGTTTCCGGATAGATACAGAGACCCTGTGGTGGAGCCGTTGATACTGTGGGAGCTGAAACAAATCTCTCGTCCCGGTTTCTTCAAAATCCTCACTATGTTAAGCAATTCCATATTCTAGGTACGATTTAATTGTTTCTTTTACTCTGATTCCTTAGCCAATCAAATTTAGTGTAATATATGTAAGCATCTGACTCAACTTTTTGTATTTGAAGGGTTTATTAATGTGATATTTATCAGTATTAAAAGTGGTTATGTTTATCCTATAAATTGGATTGAAGATACATTTATTGGACGAGAGTCTTAGGATGACCTAAAGATTGTTTGCATTCTAGTTTTCACTTTTCAGGAGCACACTGGAGTTTAATCTTTCAGTAATAGTAGATTTTCAAGATGAAAAGTAATCAATGAAATTACATTAAGAAGCTGTTAATACTTGATCAAGCATCCTAGATTTGTAAATTTGAGGGTTTACATAACTGGCATAGGAAACACCATAAAGGCAAAAAGTCATTTGAAAACCTCCAACTCAATGAAATTTATTTGCTTGTAGCAGTGGTTGAGGACTCATTGTACACTAATGTTCCATTAATATGGACAGAGATTGGTCAACATAACCCCATGTCAGGTTGGGAGAAGAAGAACACGTACAAGTTTTGTCATTCTATTCTACATGAAAATGTAAAACTTAATGTGAATTTTCAAAGATAATTGATAAACCAAATTATCCTGTATTTACGTATGAATGGTAACTTCATATTTTATTGTGAATGTAGCTGAAATATTATGCATCTGCTTCAGTAACCTATCATAGATAAGCGTAATATGGGAAAATCAGCAAATACAAAGCATCTGCTTCAAGTAGCTTTTGTTTCTGATATCTGAGCTGCAGGTCTTCACAAAATCATGGTATGGATTCTCTGAAACACTCTTATGGATTTTTCATGCCTTTATGTATACAAGTACTTGTGTGTTTCTTGGTTTAATGTACATTCAATTCAATGAGCAAAGATGTGCACTTCCACATATGATTACAGTTTGAATCAAAATTGCATATGCACAAAGTTTGTTTTCTTACATATCCTATGTCTTCTATAAGAAAAAGAAAAACTAGGGATAAACTATTTATATAATGAGTTTTATTGATCAAATCCGTTTCTTGTAATAACCAAAATCTTTAGCTGTTTATAACAGAAATGTATTCATATTTTTTCCAGGCAAACCTTGAAGATTCTTTTCTGGCAGATCTTGAGGATCTATCTGACAATGATAATGAGAACCTGGTGAGTGTAGTAAAACTCTTAATGTCATGTCATGTCATTGAAATTGGATTTCATATTCTTGAATTCTTGATTCTTGAACTTAGTTAAAAGTCTTGTTTATTTATAAATTATACTTTATTTTGTACTGAATAGGATGAAGACAATGGGGATGCAGAGAACATGGAAGAAGATGTGAATGGAGACTTAGCTGATATAGAAGCCCTCAACTATGATGACTTAGACAGTGTCTCAAAGTTGCAAAAAACACAACGTTATACAGACGTCATGAAGGTAAGTACATGTACAAGAAAATTCATACATACATACCTTTTTTCATGTTTACATATTACACTGACTGCAGAAAGTCGAAGATGCCCTTGAAAAGGGGTCAGATATGTCAATCCAAAACCAAGCCATGGTTCTAGAAGATGATCCAGAATACCAACTAATAGTCGAATGCAACACATTATCAGTCGACATAGAAAACGAAATCGTCATAATCCACAATTTTATACGCGATAAATACCGATTAAAATTTCCCGAACTCGAATCTCTGGTTCATCACCCGATCGATTACGCGCGTGTGGTCAAGAAAATAGGAAATGAAGTTGACCTAACCCTAGTTGACTTAGAAGGTCTTCTCCCCTCAGCCATCATCATGGTTGTTTCAGTCACAGCCTCAACCACAAGCGGAAAGCCACTTCCCGAAAATACCCTCCAAAAAACAATCGAAGCATGCGATCGTGCCCTTACTTTAGATGCTTCAAAAAAGAAAGTTCTGGATTTTGTTGAGAGTAGAATGGGGTACATTGCACCGAATCTTTCCGCCATTGTTGGAAGTGCAGTTGCTGCAAAACTTATGGGGACAGCTGGCGGGCTGACATCGCTCGCAAAGATGCCAGCTTGTAATGTGTAGCTTTTAGGTGCTAAAAAGAAGAATCTAGCAGGGTTTTCTACTGCTACATCTCAGTTTAGAGTTGGGTATATTGAGCAAACGGAGGTTTTTCAGACTACACCTCCTGGTTTAAAGATGCGGGCTTGTAGACTTTTGGCTGCAAAGTCAACTCTTGCTGCACGTGTTGACTCCATCAGGGGGGACCCGTCTGGGAAACAAGGGAGAATGTATCGGGAAGAGATTAGGAAGAAGATTGAAAAGTGGCAGGAACCACCGCCAGCTAAGCAACCTAAGCCACTTCCTGTACCCGATTCTGAACCCAAAAAGAAAAGAGGTGGGAGGCGATTGAGGAAAATGAAGGAGAGGTATGTATATGTAGTTTTAATTTTAATTTATATTATATTTAAATAACATAGTGTGAAAAGTCTACCTTGTATTTGCATATAATATGAAAATGATCATTCAGTTACCTTGCTTATTGCCTTATTCATTCTTTCCATCCAAACAAACTTACCCATGTTATATAGTGAAAATCACAAGATAGAAGACCTAGTTTTTCTCCAGCCTTTCTTTATTATTATTAGTTACTTATGTTTTTTCTTTTACCAGATATGCTATTACAGACATGCGGAAACTGGCAAACAGAATGCAATTTGGAGTGCCTGAAGAGAGCTCATTAGGTAAAAATATTTTATTAAAATAATTTCACCCTCACCCTATATTTAACATATACATTCTATTTTTTTAATTATATAATCCTTTTGAAAGTTGGATGGTATTTTGTTTCATGATATTAATAGGTGATGGACTTGGAGAAGGATACGGTATGCTTGGTCAAGCTGGAAATGGGAAGCTGCATGTATCAGTTGGTCAAAGCAAACTCGCTGCTAAAGTTGCCAAAAAGTAAGTTTAGTTCATTTTTTTTTTTCTTGAAAATCCTAAAACCTAATATGTTCTTATGGATGTGTTTTCTTTCAGGGGCAAAGATAAACAATATAGTAGTGGTGGGGCTACCTCTGGATTGACTTCAAGTTTGGCTTTCACACCTGTTCAGGTTTGGTTTCGTTTATTTCCCGTTTTACCCTAAATCATTTACAGCTTATAATCGTATATATATTTTTTCAGGGGATTGATCTTATAGATCCACAGGCAGATGCTAATAGACTCGGGAGTGGATCTCAGAGCACATACTTTTCAGAAACAGGAACTTTTTCAAAGATCAAGAGGACATGAGCTTCCAGGCATCATGTAACGTGTTTTTCATGTCATTTGAATCGTAAGTATTTGACTCAACCTTTTTAATGTATGTATTAAAAAGGTTTATTAATGTGAAAAGTGGCTATGTTTATCCATCCTATAAATTGGATTGAAGATGATACATTTATTTGATGAGAGTGTTAGGGTGGGTGACCTATAAATGTGTTGCATTCTAGGTTGCAGGAGCGGATTGGGGTTGGATCTTTCAGTAATAGTATATTGATTGATATTCCAAGATGAAAAGGAATCAATGAGAGGAATTTCTTCATTTTATTACAGGACGACCTAATATGAATATGATGCACACGTGGCATGGTTGAGATCTTGTTATTATTTGCATCCAAGATTTGTAAATTTGAGGGTTTTCATAACTGGCATACAAAACAGTTACACCTAAAAGTCACTTGAAAACCTCCAACTCAATGGAGTTTATTTTCTGGTAGCAGTGGTTGAGGACTCATTGTACACTAATGTTCCATTAATATGGATAGAGATTGGTCAACATAACCCCATGACAGGTTCAGAGAAGAACATGTACAAGACTCTTGAATTTTAGTAAAGCATTAGGGTTCTTGTTCATTGTGGGTGTTATTTTGAGTATTAATCACTTAGAAGCTAATCAAAAGTTATAATTATATTGTCTTTTCAAATCTGTGTACTCTAAAATGTGTCATTCCAGGCATAGCTATAAATATAATATAGATCTAGCTACAAGTCCTATGCACCATGTATGTTTGTTCTCCTTTTAGTTTTACTCATCTGATGTCCAATGTATCAAACGCATCTAATGGTGTTGGAACATCTTCCCTGTTGTATGTGGGGTATGATAATGAAATATTACTATTTTTTGTCCGTTGGTTTTCTATAATCAAAATTGCTTTCAACAACATAGTGATTTGACATTGCTATGATTGCTCCAAATGATGAATATAGTCATTTTGTTTGGCATTATACCACGTACTCATTACAAGATTTTTAATTAGTAAGTATGACCTATACAATAATATTAGTAAGGGGTTGTTTGATAATGAGCTGACTGGGTCCGGTCAACAAATTTTGGCTGACTCGTTTGGTCAGGCCGTTTGGTAGAGGCCCAAATTAGCTGACTCGGTCCAATATCCTGATTCGGTAAGTGCAAAAAACTTAGCCAACCGGGAAAGAGACCTTATTTTCCCTTCGTTCTTCCTTTCTGGTCCATCGACCTCTCCTCTCATTGCTCTCCTCAAAGGCTCAAACCTGCCACTCCCTCAATTTCTCCTCAAATCGATGATTGAAGGGTCGAGGATTACAATCGGTTTCATAAGGTGGATTTTAATGGATTTCATGATTCTTCTTGCTGTTCGTCTCCTCATACGATCCTTCCATCTCACTCACGTCCCCGATTTGAAGAACATGATTTTTTGTTGCACCGCGTATATTATTTCTTTTTTCTCCGTGTCTCGATTTCTTTTGCAATCGGTCTTTGGTGTTAGCTTCATTATACGATTAGTTGTAGAACCTATCTATACGTCGAAAAAATTGGATTTGTTTTAGTCAAATTACAATTGCATACCTAATGGGAATTGGGTTCTTAATTGTTATTTCTCTTAATCGTTTTCACCACTTTTAATTTTGTATATTTTAGTCAATTTTGTATATAGTCTTGAACCTTGTTGGAATTTCCATCGAATCCTTTGAAACTTCTTTGTTTCACTTTTTGTTCTTTTTGGTTTTGTTAGTAAACTCGAAGCTTGTCTAGGTATCCCTAATATTTGGTTGTTTGATTCTTATAGTGAACATAAAGAATGATTGGAAAGAAAGTTGTTGATTATTACAGTGAAAAAGGAAGTAAACCAAGACCAATCAAATAATTGAGGCTTAAAGAATGATGACAAAAACATGTTTGTTCGTGCAACCCTCTTGCATAAAGAAGAAGATGCAGCTTTGTTAATTGTGTCACACATAATCACAAAACATAATGATGAAGCTTCTACAAGAAAATATGAAATGGTGGCTAATAGATTTTGTATAATGCTATTATGTAGTTCCTTTTTGTAATCTTTGGTTTTGTTTTTTTTCTATGTTGATCTTATGCCCAGTAAATAAAGGGTAGAAATTGGATCCATAGATTGGTCTTATGTCCAAGTCTAATTTATGGTTCTGGTAGAGTTCGAGAGTTTTTTCAAAAGAAGATGCCAACCAGTGAGAATTGTAATTGTGGATTCTGAAATTGTTGTTTGACTTTTTTTTTTATTTATTTTTTTTTATTATTATTGAATTTGGTTTAAGTTTCATTGTATGACATGTTTTTTAATTTGTTTAACAGTGCAATTTACCTGTGTTTATTAATACATGATAAAATATGTAATGTTATAAATTAAATGGTAAGTCATAAAATAATTGTTATAAAATATATTGTTTGAGGGTAATATAGTCATTTTGCACAGTTAGTAGATGCAAAATAAAACAACAAATTTCAGTTAGAAATTAATTGAGTCATAACTTCTAACCCAGTCAGCTTCTAACCCAATTAACAACTATCAAACGACTCCTAAGTTAATCACGTATAATGAGCTCAGTGAAGACAAACAAAAAGACTACATATCTATCATTAGAAGCATCCATAGCAATATACAATCGCTATGCTGCTGAAGGAGACTTTGATGTTAGAAAAGCAATGATGAAGTTAAAGAATGGTACTGTTATGCAACAGGGTAGGCATACAAAACACCAGTGAACATGACACATTAGACACCGGCCAAGAGTAAAACTAAAAGAAGGAAAACGTGTGTATATATATATATATATATATATATATATATATATATATATATATATATATATATATATATATATATATATATATATATATATATATATATATATATATAAGACTTGTTGCAACGCTTTCATTAGATTTAAAACATTTCAAAGTATATGAATTTGATGAACATATTCGTAAGTTGATTACTGAAGATAATATGAACTTGTCACGTAGTAACAGACGATTAGACTTTCTACAACAATCATTCATTTATTAAATGTTGACATAACCAAGTCTCATCTGGTTGATGAGTGGTATTCAAGGTGGATATATTTATAAGGTCGACGCAACAAATGATTTCAGGAATTTTAAGAGGGACTTAAACTGTTTATTGGAGGCAGTGATGCACAAATGTTACTTGACAAAATGAATATATAGCAATAAAATCATGCCCCAAACTTTTCATTTGATTATAGAGTTGAGAATCGTTGGTTAAATGCTTTATTTTAGGTTCATGAAATATCCACGCTATACTATATGGAGTTTGGTGATGTTTTTTTCGATCCTACTTTTCACACAAACAAGAATCAATTTTTATATATAATGCTTTATTTATAACTGTGTTGCTTTTGTATATGTTTTTCTTGTAATTAGTCTAGGTATATAATATCATTAAATTTTAAAATGTATTAGATGCAGTATGTCGCATTATGTTTCTTCCTTTTAGCGGAATAGACAATCACAAAAAATGTGTCACTTCTTGATGCCATATTTGCTAAATAAATAAGATATGAAGTAAAAAACATTTGTCAAACGTCTAATATTAGTTCCATCTAATCAAAATCCAGTATTGAAGAAAGCTATTACACATGTTTTTCCTTAGTCAAACCATAAGTTGTGCATGTGCCATGTGATATATTATATCCAAATTGCCTGTCAATGTTAGAATTTTATAGTTTCAGTTGAATTCACAGTAGAATGTGAAATTATCATTCTTGCGTGAAAAAGAATAATAATTTATCCAAATTAGTCTTCTAAAAATGGTGTCAATTACACTGTTGTTTTCTTTTAACTATTCAAAGTAAAATACACTTTGATTTTGCAGGTTTTGGAAGTTCAAAAATTGGAGGACAAATTACATAAAAAAGATAACCAAAAATTGATCTTATTTTTGTTCAAGAAACCAACTATTTTTTCATTTTGAAAAAAGAATATCGTTTCAAAACTTTTTGTTTAGGCAACCACTTATATTGGTTGACAATCATTTCCTACGGATGGTAGTGATTGATTACTTAAAGTGCACTGAGGTGAGGACCACTGTTATGAAAAAGAAATTCCACTGGAGAATAACTTTCATAATTTGCAGCATACAACATAAATTTAGAGACTAGTTCATGAGTGAGATAACACCAACAGATCGGCATAAACTACTGCTCCATGATCTGAAAATTCTTTGAGTTTGAAGCGACGATAATTATATTTACATTTCAGATGCTGATTGGCTCACATTTTCCACTGTTATGTTTAGTGATGTTAGTCATGTTACCAAAATTGGTTCAGGATATGGAAATAGGGAACGTTTTAACTTAGAACATATCATGTATAAAATGATTTTTTAAAAGCTTTTAGGTATTTTTTGAGCTATATGACCTACATCTCCATAGCTTTAATGTGCATAATGTAATCATGGAGCTCACTCGATCTTCATTAATAAAATACTAGTTCTATCCTCGCACTTATGATTTATTTCATTGTTTATTGTTGCTATATCTAACCCACTCCATTATTTGAGTTGTTTATGTATTGTTGTACAACAACAATATTATGCCATCATTTTGTTATCACAAAGGCATACCTTGTACTTGAGCGATAACATTGTGGTTTACAAAAACAACATACTCCGGTCAGGGCCGGTCCTGTAACAACGTAAATTCCCAAACAAAATTTTCATTTTAAAACATAATAAAATCTTGTTTCACAATTCTCAAAACCACATATGTTTCAAATGTCAACAATTAAAACACAATCCCAGAATCATAAAATAATCTCATGCCGATGTGTACAATCATGTCAGTGCCTTGCCGCGATCCTCGAAACTACCTGAAACACATAATACATAACACGGTAAGCATAAAAACATAGTGAGTTCCCTAAAATACCAAACACTACTTATTAGCCACTCTAGGCCGTAACTCAATAAGACCCTCTGGTCGATGTGTCTCAGTGGGACCCTCTGGTCGGCATCCCAGTCACAAAATTGAAGGGCACACTCGAGATTTGAACATGCCATTGAAAAGTTTAATGAATGTCAAAGATCTAGGAGTTTCAAACCAATCAAAACTTAACAATCTATTTCGTTTTTCTATGGTGGAAATTGGTAAATCGTCATTTACTTGCCTTCAAATATTTTACAATTGGATTACGACATCCCTCTTCACAATTGTAGAATATTGTGTTGGGTCCTAGCCTTAATATTTCGGTTTGGGTGTTATTTTAAGGATTTACATCAACTAACTTAATTTCTCCCTTGTACATGTCTAGTTCAGATAACTATGGTATTCCCGAATCTGTTGGAAAAAGCTTTCCACAGGAAGATGATATTCCACAATATCATGCTTCACTTTCTCCACCTCCTCCAATCATTCTCCCTAATCCACATGTTCAAATACTTGAAAAGTTCAAGGTTATTCAAGCCCTACTTGCAATGAAACATCAAGATGGAAGGTCTGTGTATACTCACATCTTAGAGATGAAGTCACATATTGACATGCTGAGAGTATTGGGTGTCATTATCTCAAGGAAGTTGGCTATCGATTGGGTTATTCAATCACTTCCTGAGTTATATAATGAGTTCGTTAAATATTACTATATGACAGATCGCGACATGACCCTTATCGATCTTTCCTCTTTGCTATTTGTGGTTGAATCACCAATGATTTGGTGCAATGGTAAAGCAAACTTGATTGGAAGATCTACTCCCCAAACTTCCATGGACACTGACAATGGAAACATTGAAAGTCCAGAAAAGTCTTATCTTCACAATGTAATATGATCGGCCATTGTCAACCCGGTTGACCAAATG